ACTACACTGCACTGCACTGCACTGCACTGCACTGCACACTACACTGCGCTACACTACATTACTTTACATTACATTGCACTGTTGCACCCAACATCACAAAACATGCACATAAACATATACATATACACATGCATATACATACAGACGTAGGAACACAAGAAAGGCAAGCGATCAAAAAAACGTGCGCACGGACAGGCAAAGAGGCAGGAGAGAAAAAGAAAAAAGAAAAAAAGGCAGTCTCACAGGAAGGCAAGCTAACAAACGGGCAGGCAGGCAGGCAGGCAGGCAGGCAGGCAGCTAGGACCTATAGGAAGACAACAGGCCAGCCGGCAACGGCCCAAAATTATTAGGGGAGGGGTCGTGCCTGAGCGGGAGGGGCCCGGAAGCACCGGGCCACAAAAATCAGCAAAACGGGCCACAAAAAGCGGCATCACAGACACAGGAATCCCTCATCCCCGCGTCTCCGCATCATCCAAACATGCGCAAACGTGCAAAACCCAGAAACAGTAACCAGCCCGAAGCACCGTTCGGGTTGGACAAAAATTCAGAAAAATATTGCCGGGAGCCCTCAAAACACAAAAGCTCAAAAAAAAGACTGCGGCAATTCACTTTACGGGGGTTATCCCCGGGGGGTCGGGAGTTATAGCCACCCGGGGGCTATGTAAAAACCAAATGCATCACCAGCGCACCAACATCATCATCACCCCCCATCAACCCCCCCCCCCCACGCCAGAGAGGAGAACATAAGAGACGGTTTCAAGGCCTGCACACGCGTACGCGGATCAATCTCCGCGCAACCCCGGCCATGGTGAATCCTCAGGTCAATCCCCTCGGATCGCGTGCTCAGGGCATGAAACTGTCTCTTCTGTTCCCCCCTCTTCTAGCAAATCAAAGTCAACCTCAGAACACACTCCCTTCTACGACTTTCTGCGTCCTCCTCCACCACGTGCTTTGCCCGGCGGCTGTGCCAGTTTCCGCTTGAGGAGCAGCTCAGGGGTCATATCCCAATAGGCCGGCAGGCCGGCAGACAGACGCACAAGCAAGAAAGCACGCTGACAAGCCATCGCCCGGGCACGAAGCAAGCGAGCAAACAAGAAAACAGGCAGGGCAGGCAGGCAGGACTGCACGCAGGCAGGCAACAGGCGAGCAGACGAGCAGAACAAGAAGACCTGCAAACAAACAAGCAAGCAAACAAGCCGGCGCGCAGACAGGCACCAGGCAGGAGAAAGAAAAGCAGACAAGCAGTCACACAGGAAGGCAAGCTAACAGACATGGTGTCGGGTGGCGAGTTGTGATCTTGACGCACGGCGGGCGGCGGGTGTCGGCGGCTATGATGTCTGACTCTCCGTGCTGCGATGTCTGACTCTTCGCGCGGTGATGTCTGACTCTTTGCGCGGTGATGTCTGACATTTGGGTCTCTGACTTTGTGGTTGGATGTCTGAATTTCTCTTCGCTGTTTCAACATCAACCCACTCAAAGCAGAGCTTTTCGCGAAACAGAATGAACCCTCCAAACCACCCCAGCGCCGATTTGGGCCTTTCGACCCAATAACTTTCCGCTGGGGAACGATTGAGGGCACGGCCTTTAACTGGGGCTCTCAGACCGACAAAAACGGCTGGCCATGAGCCAGCGCGTCCCGCTTCAGCTCCGCAATCTCGAAGCGCCCCACCGTGGCGCATCGGACAGGCGCAAAACGCCGATGTGTCTGTGTGTGTGTGTGTGTGTGTGTCTGTCTGTGTCCGTCTTTGGGAAGGAAGTCCCCAAACAAAGGAAAGAAACCCAACCGCAAGCACATACAGGAACGTCGCAAAAAAAGGAAGTCTTGTATGTTGGTTTGTGAGGTAGCCCTTGGGTCTGCGGATACTCGGGCTGCCTTTGGTAGTGTTTCTTGTATTGGGGGGGGACTTTGAGGTAGACCCCGGGGTCTGCGGATACTCGGGCTGGTAGTGGCTTGTGAGGTCCCCCCAAACACAAAAACAAAGAAGCCAGCAGTGGCCCGAGTATCCGCAGAGTTCGGGGTTACCTCACACACCGACATACAGACGGTCCCCCAAAAACACAAAAGCGAGTATCTGCAGACCCCAAATGCTACCTCACAATCCAACATGCAAGACAGTCCCCCCGAACACAAAAACAAAGAAGCCAGCAGTGGCCCGAGTATCCGCAGAGTTCGGGGTCTACCTCACACACCGACATACAGACGGTCCCCCAAAAACACAAAAGAAACACTACCACGGGCAGCCCGAGTATCCGCAGACCCCGGGATCTACCTCAAACACCAACATGCAGGAACGTCGAAACAAAAGAGAAAAAACAGATACCAGTATACAGGCAAGTCCCCCAACCAAAAAAACGAACCAATCCAAAAGGCAGCACGAATATGCGCAGACCCCGCAGTCTGCCTCAGAGGCCGACATACCGGAAAGTCCAAAAAAGGCCAAGGAACGCTGCCCAAAAAGGAAACAAGAGCCTACCAAAGCCGGCCAAAGCATCCACAGACCCCGGGGTCTACCTCAAAGGCCAACATACAGGACAGTAACCCCGCGGGGGCGGCGGCACCGGGCGGCAGCCCCCAAACAAAGGGACGGAATATGAAGGAAAATGAAGGGAAATGAAGGCCAACCAAAAACGATGTGAATGGGTCATGAAGAAAATGGAAAGGGCGGGGAGATGAAGGGGAGCATGAAGGAGAAAATGAAGGGAACATGAGGGGGAAATCTTGGGGAAATGAAATGCACGAGAAGGGAAATGAAGGAAATGGAAGGGACATGAAAGGAAATGAAGGGAAAATGACGAGAAAATTAAGGGAAGATGAAAAGGAAATGACGGGAAATGAAGGGAAATGAAGGGGAATGCTAGATGAAGTGGAAATGAAGGGGGAAAGGAGAAATGAAGGCATGCTCTTCCTCGCTGTTCAGTTTTTGCCTGTTGGAACAAAGCGAGTGGCAGAATGCATCATCGTAGTTGATGACAATGTTCTATGCCTTGTTCTTTCAACTATTCTGGTATTGTTTGTGTACTTGTTGGGTAAACAGCAATGAGCAATGACGTACTTGTACGACACCTATAAGGCGTGCAAGTTGCAGTTGATGCTTTTCTGCGCTACGTGCCCATGCCGATACTTGCCGGCCTTGAGCTTCGCTGCTTCATTGATGAGGAAAGAGCTGCAAATACTTGTGCTTGACAGCATACACTCCGTAACAAGTAACTGTTTGATGCTGCTGCCATCCTGCGGCGTCGACCCCTCCTCTGTTTTAGCGTAGCGTCAATGTCACTGAGCTCCACCCGCACAGACTTCAGCGATGGTCCAGGCGGATCCTGGCACATGGACCATGGGAAGAACATCCCCAGCTTCATGCAGCAAATGGACGGTGCCGACTTGGTGGGGGAACTTCCTCTGACCTCTTTCTTGGCTTGCTTGAATTGGCCAAAACCCGGCAGAACAGGGGCAACCTTTCTGTGCTGCGAGTCGTTGGAACGAATCGCAGATAATATTAAGACCTGCAGCACAAACAGTCATAGGCCATTCTGCGCTGCGCGACAAGCAGCAATGACAACGCTTTTGAGAGAGAGAGAGTGAGAGAGAGAGTGAGAGAGAGAGAGAGAGAGACAGAGAGACAGAGAGACAGAGAGACAGAGAGACAGAGAGACAGAGAGACAGAGAGACAGAGAGACAGAGAGACAGAGAGACAGAGAGACAGACAGACAGACAGACAGACAGACAGACAGACAGACAGACAGACAGACAGACAGACAGACAGACAGACAGACAGACAGACAGAGAGGGAGGGAGGGAGGGAGGGAGGGAGAGAGGAGAGAGCGCGCGCCCGCCCAAGTAGCTCTTAAACCCCCGTCGCTGTGTGTTTTGCTATGCCGTGGATAAGAAGGCCGAACTGACAACCTAACTGCATGACTCATACCAAGCCTGGACACGCGGCGGTTCCGCATGAGCACGTGTTCTTTGCTGGTCAACTTTAACCAATGCTACTTGCAGCTCTCCTGTCCTGACCGTCGTAGAGAAAAAGCTGTATTTTGTTGCTGGCCGCCCCGTCAGCTCCAGAAGTCACATTGAATTGTCTACCTGCAGCACGACAGCATTGCAAGTACGCGTAGGCACCCCAGTCTCATTCAGGCAAGCAACTGACCCAACGCCGAAAATCCTCCCACCTGGCCAATGGGAAGCGGTAACATGCCACATGTAGACCCCACCCGAGAGATTCTGGTGCTGAGGACTCTGCAGGATGACTTCCTCGCGGACCATGTCCTGCTGGGCCTCAAGATGCTTGCCCTCAATTCCCAGAGCTTCGAGCATCTTACCTGAGTGAAGGCATTCAAACACACGAAGTCTGGAAGCACATTCAAACACACGTTTTAAAGCCAAACACTAAGTCACTAGTGCCTGGCTACTCAAGCTCGTGGACATGGCAAGGCCGCCCTCGTCGATTGAGTTATCGACAAAGACTTGCTTGATTTGATGCTCCAGCTGCGCCTCAATGGCCAATTTTCTCCAACTCACACACGCACAGAGCTATTTTGAGCGTGCCTCTTCACTCAGCTGCGCGTCTTCCCTTCGAGTGGAGAAAATCATGGTGTAGTGCGTTGGGGAGCCCAGGACCCACAGGGGGAAGTCTGGATTCTTGTAGAGCCTCAGCAAGCGTCTTGAAGCTTAAAACTGGACTCTGAGCTGGTTATTGCTGCATTCTTGCCCATAGTTTGAGATGTACGAGGAGCATGCCAACCTTCAGGTATCTCATTGGCTCCATCTCGCTGAGGAAGCCAACTTGTGGCACCCCCACGTGCTCACTGTCCACGCCCCTGGATTGGTCGAGAGAGGCGACACACAGTGAAGCAAATGTGGACCATCGACATGCTTGAACTTGTACCAGCCTCAACCGAAAACCAGTTGAAGGATCGTCTCCCAGCCATCGTGTGCCATCGAAAACATTCCTGGGCTGACCAAACGTTCCAAGTAACAAATCTTGGCCAATGCCTCGTCCGCGCCGCCAAGGCTCGATGTGGCCTCGCCGATGAGCATGAGGTTGACCAATTCCTCGCTTGGTTGCAGCGCAACTTCCAACTTTCATCTAGTCTTAAGCATGAATCAACTTTGCTGCTTTGCTGTGCTAGGCAGAGCGCTTGGCTACAATGCCCAAAGCGCCCTATCAAGGGCGTGCTCGGGTCATCCATGTCCTTGGCCATCCAGCTATGAAAGAAAGCATCTGAAACTGCTTGTCAAGAATGCATGCGAAACACAAAAACATGTGGACTGCGAATGTCTCCCATCTTCAGCAATGGCGCTTCTCTGACTGTGGAGGCTGTGCGGCTTATGAGCACAGAGAAAAGGAAGCTCACCACCCCCAGGCTCCCAGCCAACCAGCTGTCTGCGCCTGCCCAGAATTTGTTCATGATAGTTCCAACGCATTGTTCTTTGTTCACGCCTACGGTGCAACCAAAGCTGGTGCGGAGTGTGTTCTGTTCGGTCCAAAGGTTCCAAGTCTAAGCTTCGCCTTCTTCCAAGAGTTGCCGTGCTTCTGCAACCCGCGGCGTCCGCCGAGCCACCACCGTCAGGGCACTGGCGCCGTCACCTGGCTCGCCCCGAACCCGGAGCCATCGAAACGCCAATGGATGGGCTGAACAAACAGTTAGGATCTCTCGTTGGCAAACCGTTTCAACCAACTCAGCAGCTCCAAGCTGCTCAACGCGCCACTTTTTTCCAGCGGCGATGGGCACCTCCAAGATGTCCTTGTACCCACACCCGCGCTCAAATGAGAAGAGGTTCCTCCAGAGGTGCCAACTCACGTTGGCGTGCTCGAAGTCTTTTCGCACTCGTGAAGCCCTCATCATGCTGCACGTTCCACCTGTAGTGAGAAATCTCCAATCTCCGGATGCGATCCGCTGTCAGAAAGGGACTTCTCCGACCTCATGGTCACTCTGGCGGCCCCTTCCGCGCAAGCTGAGTGGAGGCGCGTTGTAAAGGACTTGGATAAGTTCGTTTCCAAGTAGGTTGGCAAGGGCATGGAAGTGTCTTGGACGAAGCTCAACAAGACCTAGCGCCAGGCCATGAAAGAGCCGAAGCAAGGTTTGCCAGGGCCTCATCGTGAGAATGAGATGGGTTTTGGTTTTCAAGCAGGCTGATGCATGACTTTCAAGGAGCAGAACAACCACCACAGGTCACAGGGAAAGGCTTTCTGACCCGGATCGTGGCGGCCCAGGGCACCTACCATGAGCAGAAGATCTCACCAGCTGATGCTTCATGCAGGAAAGACAACGTTTTTGCAAGGACGTGAGTCTCAGCGTGAACGCCAAGTGTTTGCACGGCCAGCTCGCAAACTACAAGCAACCATGGGTTTGAAACCTCATGAGTGTGTGCAACTTCTTAAAGCCGCATATTGTCTGACCACCGCACCGCGAGAGTGGGCATTTGGAGGAACACGAGAGTTAGTGGTTTTGAACGCCTGAAGACGGAACCTTGCATTTGGCGGGCATTGGACAGTAGTGGACACGTGGTGGGCTTGGTTTCCAGCCATGTCGATGATTTCTTCTGTGTGGTGACTGGGATTCGTCGGCTTGGAACCATGGCAGATCCCAATATCGCTAGAGTCCTTGGGAAGAACCTCCGTTTTCGCTTCGCCTGGTTCCTCAAGTGGACCTTGGCGATTAGAGCAGGAATGAGTTTTGCTTGGGTGTGAAGCAAGTGGTCATGGACAGCAATGCGACTTGGATGCGATGGGAACATATTGAGGTCGTTCTAGTTTCTCTTGCCGGCGACGTGCCCGATTGAAAGGAGCATGTTCGAAGAGAGGTGCATCTGCGCGTTGAGCAAAAGGCATGTAGTCCGGATCACCGATCAATCAGTCGATGTCGTCAATGTCGAAGTCTGAATCCAAGGTCGCATCAGAATGCGCTGCCTCAAACCTTGTGCATGATTCTGCAACAATCTTTGCGAAGGCGCTGCACCCACTCGCACCAGTGAAATCAGGAAATCTGCACCTCAGGCTGACAACGTCTTCAACAAAGCGCTGCGCCTGCCACGCAAAGAGAACCTCAGGTTGCCGAAGCTTTGCTCCTGTCACGCAAACTGAAGTCGCGAGAAGCGCGCACAAGCGCGGGCGCATCCGTACCCATGGGGGCAGGTCCGCATCGGTTTCGAGACCGTTCCCCGCCCGTTTCGACAAACATTGCCAACGAGGTAGCTTTCAGCTCCGGAATTGTTTGTCGCCTTGCTTTCAATATTTCATGCGCCCCTTGCTTCGCTGCGGCAATATCAAAAATGCTTCCGTCTTGCTTGTTTTGACATCAGGCGCGGCAAAACAGCCGGCCTAGCTCGCAAAAAGCTTCCAAGCAGCCCACATGGCAGGCAAGAATTTCAATGCCAAAAATACAGGCCCGGCTGCGTAGCATCTTTACCCTAGCGTCTTCGGCGCCTGCCGCCACTACTGCCGGCGCTGCCGCCTGCACCGCTTGTGCCTCCGGACCGTCGCCCTCTGCGCTGGGGCGTACCTGCGCAAGGCTATGGCGCAAACACAGTCCGCATACGCACAGCCCTCTCTAATTGCTGACGATACAAACGCAAACACCCACCCAAACACAAACACAAAAACAAACACCAACACAAACACAAACCCAAACACGAACCCAAACACAAACACAAAAACAAACACAAACACAAACACAAACAAAAACACAAACACAAACACAAGCACAAACACAAACAAGCACAAGCACAAGCACAAACACAAACACAAACGGAACACAAGCACAAGCACAGCGCAAGCGCAACCACAAGCACAATCACAAGCACAAGCACAAGGACAAGCACAAGCGCAAGCACAAGCGCAAGCACAAGCCCAAGGCAAGCGCAAGCACAAGCACAAGCGCAAGCGCAAGCGCAAGCGCAAGCACACGCACAATCACAAGCACAAGCACAAGCAAAAGCGCAAGCGCAAGAAAAAGCGCAAGCACAAGCACAAGCACAAGCGCCAGCACAAGCGCAAGCGCAAGCACAAGCGCAAGCGCAAGCGCAAGCACAAGCGCAAGCACAAGCGCAAGCGCAAGCACACGCGCAAGCGCAAGCACAAGCACAAGCACAAGCACAAACACAAACACAGCAACGCAAACACAATCACAAACACAAACACAAACAAACACACAAACAAACACACACACACACACATCCTTGGAGCTTCATCCCTGAAGGCTGCAGCAACAATGGAAATTTGTCTTTATCTTGAGCGGTCAGCTCATGTGTGGGTTTCTACAAACGGACATGACAATCTGCGCGGGTGTTGACCATGGCAACATCAGTGATAAGCGTCCTTAGAACGGTAAAAGGGGGGGTGTCCGGCGTTTTGTGCAAAGGTAGCCGGTGCGCCGAACATGAGATCGCCGGATCGGGGAAGATGAGCCACTCCCTTATTTGTTATATTCGCCTGAGCACAGTCTGGAGCAGCTTTTGCGCGAGTAAGACGTTTGAAGGACACTTGTCGCTTGTCTGAACCGCAGTGAGTTTCTGAGCAGGTTTCAAGGATGGAACTGCGAACGTACAATATGATGTTGCAAATCGAGCCCACTTGACAGCTCGGTTTGACAGACTGCATGCGCAGTTTCCAGGTTTCTTCCCTGCAAATGCAATTCTGCATTGGCGCAAAATGTGTGTTTTGAAGAGGACGTTTGGCCCTCTAGCTGGACAATCGCATGTGTAGCGCAAGTCTAGTGCGCGAAGTACCAGCTCCGGCTGGAAAATCGCAACTTTGTAGCACAAGTCTAGCGCGCGAAGCGCAGGTGTCCAGCTCCAGCTGTTTGTGTTTGTGCTTGTGCTTGTGTTTGTGTTTGTGATTGTGTTTGTGCGTGCGCGTGTGCGTGTGCGTGCGTTTGTGCGTGTGTGCGTGTGTGCGTGTGTGCGTGTGTGCGTGTGTGTGTGTGTGTGTGTGCGTGTGTGTGTGTGTGTGCGTGTGTGAGTGTGTGTTTGTGTGTGGGTGTGTGTGGGTGTGTGTGCGTGTGCATGTCTGTGTGTGTCTCTATGTGTGTGTGTCTGTGTATGCGTCTATGTGCGTGTGTGTGTGTGTGTGTGTGTGTCTGTGTGTGTGTCTGTGTGTCTGTGTGTGCGTCTGTGTGTGTGTGTCTGTGCGTGTCTCTGTGCGTGTCTTTGTGCGTGTGTCTCTGTGTGTGTCTCTGTGTGTGTGTGCCTCTGTGTGTGTGTGTGTCTCCGTGCGTGTGTCTCTGCGTGTTGTGTCTCTGTGTGTGTGCGTCTGTGTGTGTGTCTCTGTGTGTGTGTTTCTCTGCGCGTGTGTGTCTCTGTGAGTGTGTCTCTGTGTGTGTGTGTGTCTCTGTGTGTGAGTCTCTGTGTGTATGTGTCTCTGTGTGCGTGTCTCTGTGTGTGTGTGTCTCTGTCTGTGTGTCTCTGTGTGTGTCTCTGTGTGTGTGGCTCTCTGTGTGTGTGTGTCTGTGTGTGTCTCTGTGTGTGTGTGTCTCTGTGCGTGTGTGTGTGTCTCTGTGTGTGTCTCTGTGTGTGTGTGCCGCACACACAGACACACGCACACACAGACGCACACACACACACACAAACACACAGAAACAAACACACAGAGACATACACACAGACACACACACACAGACACACAGACACACACACACATTGACCCACACACACAGAGACACACAAACACAGAGAGACGCACTCTGTGTTTGTGTGTCTCTGTGTGTGGGTCAATGTGTGTGTGTGTGTCTCTGTGCGTGTGTCTCTGTGTGTTGTGTCTCTGTGTGTGTGTCTGTGTGGGTATTGTCCAATAACCACAAATACACACCCGATATCAGCGGCGCGAATGAACCTGCTTTCTCTCACACAGATCGATCACAGGCGAACGTAGTTCATGCAAGACCTTAAGCCCTACTTGAGCCTTGAGCCTTGAGCCAAATGTGGCAACCAAAGGAACGCTCCAACCAACAAGAACATGGACCTCAGAACGGCTTCCCAATTTAGGCACGGGGCCACAAGGGTTTTAGCATCCCCCATTTGGGTCGCACTGTTCATCATGCGGTCCAAACATCACAACAAGTTCCAATGGCCACAATTACGAAACTGTGTCGAACATTCTTTCACTCACTACTGCAACGCCGTTCATTCATTGTTGTGAAACTTAGTTCAATTAAATCAAAACGTGCATCCGCAGATCGCAGCACATCTCTATACACAGAGGCATGAGGCATTATACCTCGTACCACAACACAGCCATCGGAGATTCCAGCTGCCGCATTTGCGCATCGCGCAGCTGTCATCCATAGAAATGGGTTGGCCGAAAAAATCCATAGCAGTGCATGATTATAAGTATCACCGGCAAAGAAAAAATTGCGAGCAATATGTATGCAAAAATAGCCATCCCAGATACCATGAAAATATAAGGAAATGAAATCATCCATGAGGTAATACTGCCCATCCATGAATATCCGGAATGCCATAGTCGTCGGAATATGTAAATACATACATAAACATGGTCCTTGGACAAATGAATCACATTCTACCGCAATTTATTCCATCGTAGTGAAATCAATATGTTGCTGGCGATGGATGGGGTCTGGCCCGCACCATGCCGCAAATGCAACGATGATCCACCTCATAGTAGAATCAACATGTTGCTGGCGATGGATGGTGTCTGGCCCGCACCATGCCGTAAATGCAATGTTGATCCACTCCAGCATCACATAGGTCGATCCACAATGGCCATCTTTGTGATACGTCGACGGAATTCCTCGTCCAAGTTGCGTTGGGCGTCTCGTGCTCGGGCAGACTTCTTGTAGCGCTCGTCCGCAAGCCAATGTCCCTTCCGGATGCACCAATCGAGTAGAGGTCCGTCACATTTGCCCGGGTCTGTGGCCGCAATAATAGCGCTCACGTTGACCACATATCCATGTCTACCAAGGTTTAGCCCGGTCCTTGCGAAAGATATGTACTTGCAGTTGAATGCGAGAGAGAAGCACCTGTAAACAATGTCTCCTACTGGATGCCTGCGTTCGCTGAACAATAGCTTCATTTCTTCCTTGGTAATGTCGAGGATCTTTGCTGCAATCCACAATTTGTAGAAGATGCACAGCCCATCACATTTGAGCGTCACATAACGAATGTATTGGTTGCGCTCCTCGACCGTCCTGAAGGTCCTTGTTCTGAGAACGAGATATCGCATCCTCAGATGATGGCAACACAACACCATCACGATCAAGTTCAGTGACGTTGGGATAGCGTGCCAAGTCGTTGTGGTATGGACACGCGGGAGCTCCTTTGCGCGCGGCGTCAATTGCTCGCTTTTCGCAGGCCTCAAACATCCCCTACAACCTTGACATTTGCAGCGCAATGAACCCTGCCATGTATTGAGCCTCACGTGGCTCATCCATGCGGATTGCCATCCGTTGGGAGTTGATGATATCTCGCGCGGCCATGTCATTGTCGCGGTAATCCCATTCATTGTCCTCCTCTTCGGACACGTTGCCGGACGTGTACGCCTGCGCGCCCATATCATCATCCTCGGGATCATCTCCCATTCCGCCATCCTTCCCTTGTTCTGCCATTGTCGTTCGCTTCCTCCTGTGCCCGCCTGGCATCTCCGGACACGTTGGGTTCATGATCGTCATCATCGTCGCCGGAGCTGATGTTGAAGCAGAATCTTCCAGTAGAGATCAATTGCGCTTCGCACTCCAGGCATATACAGAAGCATGTAGGAATCGCAGTTGCACAAGACGGACAAATTCGGCATCTGAGGCCTTCCCAAGTCTCGTCATTCAGGATGATGGTTTTGCTGATCTCATCTCTGATCTCGTTGGTCAGAGTTTCCAACTCTTGAGGCGAAACAGCGTGCAGGCACGATCCACCATCTCTTGGACGTAGTGCAGATTGTCGGCGCCCGCCTCTGTCTCCGGCGATCCCTCGATGACCTTTGCAACGTTCTGAATTCCATGTGACGTATGTGGAAAACCTGCCAAGCATCGTACGTTGCGGGCTAGTCCCCGGCGGAATCGGTGGCGGGAACAGATTTGCATTGCACTTCGGGGCATTCGCTCCTTGGGACAAGATGAACTTGGCGACGAAGACGACGCTAGCGTTCAACGGGACGTTTATGGTTTTCGATGTTATCCCGTTCTATGAAGTCAAGTCCACTTGGATCGGCAAGTGCAACGAAGGGAGATGCCTGGAAATCGAGGACGTCAAGCGGGCGTGCTCGAAATGCGTCGAGAATGAAATCTGTCCTGGTTTCGTTGGCTCATCACAAGAGTCGGCCCTGATGTTCCTACAAGGCAAGCCGATGTCTGGTCAATGATGAATTGATTTGTTCTTTTGGCAAGGGAGTTTGCCTGGACAAGTCATGGTTCAGCTTCACCTCGACGCAGGCATTGATCAGCTCTGGGCCATCATCCAAGTACACCTGTTTGATCTTTCTCCTACCGCAGAAGTGTTTGATAGCTCTGACAACGGAGTCAGTGTCTCTCCTCGCAGTCGGATAAGCCATTATGAA